GAGTTGCATATTTAGCATAATTTTGCGATAATTTTCCGCGCGATGTTGGCTCGTCGCGATCTGCTCTGGTTTACCTGGTTACCTATCTACGTCCTCGCGAATCGAGAATGAGAACGATCAGGAAGCAAAATGATGTCGAGGGATTTGATAATCATTACAATTTCGATATGCTCAATTCTCGAGATTACGAATGCAGAAAAGTTACGTCCATTGCACGCTTTCATCGTTAGAAATAAATGTAATAAATTGAGATTACTTTGGCTTGAAAGCTTGAGTGTAAGAGACTTTCTAAGATTTTGCCGCGAGTTTCTCTATAAAGAAGTAATGGATTTAAATTATACAGAGTTTGTCTTTGAATCGATGAATGTTATTCATTCCCATTACTATTAATTTTAAAAAATATCGATTTTATGCTACATTAAAGCAGAAGTAAGAAAATGAACTTTACAATATTTTATGAATGCTCTAGTTTCAAGTTATAACACTTCTTGCAAAATATCTAACTAATTATTTAGTTGATATTGACAATTGCTTGCAGAAAGCATAAATTTACACACAATAAATTTATCGTTCATTTTAAGTAAACGGCGCAGTAATATTTAATTGTAAATAAAATACAAATCGCAGAAAATTTAATAGCATCAATCAAAGGATGACCGATAATTCCCACTAAAAATAGTTGCTATAATATTTTATATCGAAATCTTAATCATTTTTACGCTCTCTTTCTCTATGTATATATAAATTAATAAATAAATAAATATTAAGGATAGATTAAAAATTTTATACATCTTGTATAAGATTTTTAATTCATCTGTAATATGTATCTTGAATTTTAATAGAGTAGGAAATATTTAATAATAGGAATAATTCAAATTTTTGAACTCTTAATATTACATCATGATTTGATATTACTTAATATTATTTTCTTATTTTGCCATTTTGAATCTGAAAATAGTTTTTATGATATTTTTATTTTCAAATCTTATATATTCTATATCAAATTTTAGATATTCAATTTTCATTAATTAAAAATGGGAATTGTAAAATATTTTCTGGTACTATTTTCCATTAGCTTACAATGTTGATATAAAGGAACAATTAGTATTTCTTCAATGTCGATATAAAGGAACAATTAGTATTTCTTGTTCTTCGTATCACAACACGTTAAAGTGCAATTGCTCGTGCAATGAATCATCTCGTCAAACGGCATCGTAAATTCGCAGTAATTTGTGAAAGAATCGAGTCTTGTTAGAATGTACTAGAACATGCGGAGAGTAAATTTCCACGTCACCCTTAATCGAAATTTATTAACCATGATACAAGTATAAGCACTATGCGGGATTGCATTGAATTAGATCGCACGTTGCTTATTATGTACCTTAATGTCACTCACGCCTGGAATATATTCTTATGTAAGAGATAGACGACAGCAATCGCTGACGCGACAACTGACCCATTATTTTTAGAAACCATGTTATGGACAAGTGTGCAAATAGTGTGTGTGTGTGTGTGTGTGTGTATGCATGTTTGATGAATGTAATTATCTCTCGATAATAATATAATGATACTTAATAACTTTAATGCAATAATAAGTGCGATAAAAATTTAATTTTTATTTAAATATATTAAAGTGTTATATTAGAAATGTAAATATTTTGAAATTTTAATATATCTCTCTCTTCTCTATAGTTATGTAGCAAACTATTATATATATAATCTTGAGATAAAGATTACAGATTTGTGCTCTTTCAAGGTAAACAAGTTGCATCGAGATCATTTCAGAAGATATCGGTTCATAATAAACACTGTCACGAGCTCGGGTTTATGTTAATTGACATTAATCTGCCTAGAACAAAGTTTACAGATACACAAGTCGCTTTAGCTACCTACTAGCGAATTAATCGAATTATCTCGTGCGAGTTCGCTCAACAGTTTATTAGATCAATTCACATGACGATGCATCATCATTATCATTGGAGCGGTATGCTCCGGTTTGTCACGTACTTTCGTTTATCCTTTCGTGATCGGAAGAATACCACATGTAAATCATGATGTAATCTATCGATTGATCATCAATCGCGTATATCCATTTCGAAGGAAAATAAAGAACCCGTTTCGTCGCGAAAGGATCAAAAAATTCAACGAGAACGCAAGATAAAGAATTCATCAGGGAAGAATTTATTTTTGCACGCATGTTGCCGCCGAAAATAATACCAATAATCAATTATAATTGATCTAATTTTTTTATATTTAATTAAGATTAATATTAAGAAAGAATTTTGAAAAATCTCTCAAGAGAAGAAGGAGAGAGAGCGAGAGCTAGAGCGAGCGAGGGAGAGAAAAAGAGAAAGAAAAAGAGTTCTATATTAATACACTAGTAAGTTTCCTACTCAAGTCATATCAATTTCTCGATTGTAATGATCAACCGCAAATTTTTTTATTTACACACAAATTATCATTCATATAAGATTGCTCTCACTTTCTAGTGACATTATCGTATTTGCGTAAATGTCCAAAGTTAACAGCAGCGTTTACGAGCACCGACTAAATTAGATGTGCCTCATTAAAGATTAATCGTCCGTAATTAACGGCATGTTACCGGCGAGGACAACGGTGTAATTGGCTCGCTTCGCATTGATATTCCTGCAATTAACTTTTCGTAAGGTCCACAGTCACAGAAAGTGCGATGCAATGGCCAGCAGCGCAGCATCAGGCATTGTTGGAATTTTCCAAACGCTTGATAGATCTTACATATACATACGAGGAATTATACATATTTAAAGTCTAGTGTAAAAATGAGACACAACGATTCTTGTCTCGACGTTTCTAATTGAGGAAATCAAGTCCGGCTGGTGGTTTAATCAAGATTTTCTATTCTCGTTAGTCATTGTATACACTTCATGATAGGTTTTATCTCGACGTTTACGTATTGCTATAAATATCTCTTTAATACTTCTGAATGTTAATTAAAAACGTTATTTACTAAAAAGAAAAAATTGAATAGATAAAATTGAAATAATAAAATTGAAAAGAATTGTATTTGTTAATATGCCAAAAAACTTATTCAGTGAAATCTTTTATAATTACATAATTTTATAATTATTTAAATATTATCCTGTTAAGAAGGTCTCTTTTTATTTATTGCAATGTTTTACTTTGTAACATTTTTTTTTATGTCACAAATTACAAATATCGTAATATTTGTAAATATATATAAAAGATCTTTATTTTATTTTAGTAGCATTATAACATTATTCTTTGGTAACTTTAGAGAACTTTTAGTTTATTTATTAAGAAATTAATTGACATTTTTAAATTATTGCATCATTAAAATGAATGTAAAAAATGAAAGAGATTTTTAAAAAATTATATAAAAATATTTATTATGAAATATATAATTAAATTTTGTTTTGTTTTCGTTTTCGAGATTAATATGAACGTTTTATTACCCAAAGGCCAATAAAATTTAGAGCATACGCCGTTGTGTCACGCCTTTATTTCCGTAAGCTTCGTTCCTGCGAGGAGAAGCACTATCACGCGGTCTGCTGACTCATAATGAAAGTATTTACGCCTCGCGATTCATTTATGCGACTCGGGTCAGGATTCGTGACCCAAGATCAAATCAGGCATCGAGGACAACTTGAATTTTTTTTAGCAGAGCAAAAAACTTATTATCGCAAAATTTAAGTGCTACCATGTAGTAAAAGTTAATATTTTTATTGTCGATTGCTATTTTATAATGAAAGAAAATAATTGTGAATAAATTTAATTTTGCACGTAAGGAAAAAAATAATTACGTAGCGGGATTAGATTCACAGAGATGTGAACTTAAATCCTTCAAGACTGGACCTTCAAGATGATAACGTGATTTTGCTGACAACGATAATACTTTCTGCGCGCAAGGAAACTTTTATAAAGCATGAAGCTTTTTACCTCTGGGAAAAGAATGAATTAAAATGCAATAAAGCAAGTATATTCTAAGCAGTTTCTTACCACAAAGAAAAATGTCTCTATAAATGGCAATAAAAAATCAATTACATTAAAGCGAATATATTTTATAAAAAATCCTTCCTACACAATAATTATTAGTGTTAGACGAAACAATATTTAACTTTAAATATAGAATTGATATTGCGAAGATAATAAATATCAAAGATTTTCATATTACTTGGATTGACTTGATCTAATTAAAACAAAACGATTTAATAATTCCATGTCACACATACTTTATAGAGTGGAAAATATGATTTTTATCGGCGATTTTATGATTTATTAGTAATTAGTCATGCGCGTCTCTTCTTGTTCGAGAAAATTATTTCTTGAGAAACTCCTTTGCACATTCGAAACTGCAATTTGACATTCCGCGGCACATTATTATAGCGATAATATCGTAAGAGAGCACATCTAATATTTTTCCATGCGCGTGAATAAATTTATGAAGCGGTTGAAACCAGTTCATAAGTTTCTGAATGTTAAGAAAATAATAGTATTGTAATAACTCGTCGCTTAGAACTCTACACTTGAGCTGTTTTGCAATTACTACGTTCATTATTTATCGAATCGCAAAACAAACGCGTACCTGTCGTAACATCTTAATTATTGTATGTATCTTTTATTATTCTCTGTGTCTTGTCGATGACCATCTTGTTACAATGCATTTTTTAAGTTTTGTTGTACGCCTTTATGCCAGATATGATGAATTACCTCATCATGACATCCGTTTGACATTAGCGAATGTGTCTCTGAAAGAAAAACAGAAAAGCCTTATGCAATATTTTAGACATAAAAAAATCACGATACGCGAATCTTTTCCGTATTTGATTTTATTGTATTTTAATCGCTCGTAATTCCGCACTCGTATTCACAAATTGCGTTTTTACGCGACCTACTGAATCATAATCGTTGATTAAATTTGAAGGTTGACACGTCAAGACCGTCGTGCTTCGTTTCTACGATTTGACCTAATTTCTTTTCTTTCTGTTTCTGTATGGCTTCAGTAACCGAGAGAATACAGTGAATGGCGTGATAGCTGCCGGCGACTGCAAGATCTGCAAGGATACAAGGGACGAATCGAAGGACTCCGAGGGTTCGTCTTTACTTTGCGCGCTGAAACCGCGTAAGCGTAAAGAACGTCGCGAATCCTGCTGTCAAGAACGAAAGCTGATAAGGTATTATTAAATTTTAATAGTTATATAATAAATTTTTATTTCATCGAAATTAAAATTTATTACACGAAATTAATTACATTTACATTTTTCATAAACTGAGTATCTGGAATCAAATTATTATTTATCAATAAGCTAAATTGCATGTGTGAATATTACTGTGCATGTTATAATTCTGTTATTAGAATATTTAATTTTGCAATTTAAATTATTTGATTTTTAAAATATATTAACTTATGTATCTCTTAATTATGTAAAAATATTATATAATTTTGCTACAACAATAATAGATTACCGATAAAATATTCCAAGTTTCATATAATTTTGATTTTTCTTATTCATTAAACTTAACATTAGTATGTAAATAATAAAGATTGGTATAAATTCCCTTTTTATAATATTTTATGGCAATTTGGTGGTCTATTGCTATATTTTTTATACGAACTAATCTTACATTATTTTATGGATTTTTTATTAGCATTACATGTATTACAATATACATAAAAAAAAAGAATTGTACATAAAATGCGACGATTATATGTTTCAGGAGCAATAGTGAGGAACGTGTTCTTGATAGCCCTACTGACGTCGCAGATACGATTAGACGTGTGAGTAGTCACGAAGATTTCAACAGCCAGGAGCATTTGCACATTTTATCGCAACTTGGACAAGACATGGGTCACGGTGTAGTGAGTATAATCACAACAATAATCTTTAAAATATTATAAAGCGAAACATAACACGCTCACGTTTTTAATTATTGAGTAATTTATATATATATATATATATATATATATATATATATATATATATAAAATATCAGAAATATAATTTTTTAGAATCTTTATCTAAAATATTAGTATCTCTCTTAAGGGTTAAATAATTAAATTATTAATCACATACATAAACAAAATATAAATTCGATTGTTAAACGATTCGTTTGTGCGCAGAGATGCGGCGGATTACCGCTTCACGAGAGAACCAATGTTTCGCCCGTATCGAAGAAATCGTTATCGGTTCCATCTCCATGTGAAGTGGTAGTGGCGACTGAAAAATATGATTGCGACGCCGAGAGATTGAGAAGTAGCGAACGCTTCAGCAGAAGCATTACCCCAAGAGGCAGAAGACAAGCGCGTAGAAGAAGAGTACACAGAGTCCTGGATACGGATCAGAATTCCAGCAAGGTAGGTATAGCAATAAAATTTTTTGCCAGAAATATTGAATTATTAGTTTTATGAATTATCTACAATATTTACAATACTGAAGTGTTGATAATAATTTTAAAGATAAAATTAATTTCAACGTGAATAAATGCCAATATTTTTTAAAATCGTATTTTAGAAATTGAAATAATTAAATTTTGGTCTATGTGCTTGTATCGAATTTGCAAATACTGTATGTGACATTTTTAGTTGTAATAGAATTTAATAATGATAGCATCGCTATACTTAATAAAAGTTTGTGATAATTCTGCGGTGTTAAAATATTTTACATTTAACGTCACAGATATATTATAATACAAATTATATTTTTTATTAAGAAAAATTTTTTATTAGGAAAACGAAGAGGAATCTGAAAATATGTATATCTCCAATATATCACCAAGTCCTAATAGCCACAACGGTTCGCCAGCTCAAAGTTTCTTGGAGATGTTAAGCAGCGGACCTAGTAGATCACCCTCACCAGCTCGTCCACCTACTGTCGATCACGAAGATGTAAATAATCCCAGTTTAACTAATTGGGGCTTTCAACATTTGGAAGGAAACGTAAGTATGAGAATATATCAATTATAAATTATATATAATTATTAACAAATTATCTATATAAAATATATCTCTAAATAGAGATAATTTCAGTTAAATAATTAAAAATAATGAATATATATATAAATATGTACACAGAAAATTAATGATGTGTATTAAAATCAATTTATATAATAATTATATTAATAATAATTATGTCTATATTGGATTTTTGAAGGAAGAAGCTGTGGATGCTCGCGTGGAAGCCATGCTTTCGCCAAGGAACTCGCTATTGTTACCTAGAAGATTTTATTCCGAAGAAGAAATTCAACCTAACACGCCTAATCCATCGGAAATGGGTCTCAAAAACTTGGCTAAGCACATTAACGGCCTGAAAAAGAAAATAAAGAAGTATGAGGACGAGTTTGAGGAGAATTTCGGCTATCGGCCGAGTCATTCTGACAAAATGAGTAATCGCGACATCAAGCGGCTATGCACAGAGCTAAATAAATTGCGAAAGGAACACAAATTATTAAAGGAAGATCCTATAAGCGCGCTTCTGGCTAATGCCAATAACCGACTGAATACCAATGATAGCTCGATAAACAACAACAATGGCCACGAGAAATCACGAGTAACATCGATGGAAGAAATGGTGAAAGAGGCAGAAAAAAAACTTAGTGAGAAGCGAATTAAGTACAATCGACCCGATAATATGGAGGAGTTGAGCTACGAGCAATTACTGGATGAAAAGACGGCCGTGCAAAAGACATTACTTCACATCGAAAACTCTTTCGGTAGGCCGGTCTCGAAGGAAGACAGAACAGTTGTGCGACCACTATACGATCGATACAGGACTTTGAAAAGACTTCTCATCAGAACAGGCGCGGTAAGAACACACAATAAATTATTAATTAAATATAATCTGAAATAAATTCCAGAAAAAAATCTTAAACGATATATTTCATATACATGTTACAGAGCAAAAACAAGGACAGTGTATCAGAATTGGCCACGATTTTGGAGCACGAAACGATGGATTTTACATCATCAAGTCTACCTGGAAATCCCTCGGAAACCGATAGGAGAGCCAGCGAGCCTGACATGTCTCATCGAGGCATTTTGGATTGTATCGATTCCACGGATCAATTACCAACCGATAGCGATAGTCAACATAGTAGCAGTGAAGGCAGTCGCGGCACCGGTGAAAGTTTACACGCTCTTCCTCAGTAAGTTATATTTTTTACATTTTATATTATTTCAAATTTTTTATTATTTTTTCCTCGATTTATTCTGTTTGTTTTTGAAGTAGATTCCAAAATGGAAATATTTTCTAAATAAAGATTACATATTTGTTTGCTTTTTATCTATTTAGAATCTGTGTTCTCTTTTAAGGGAGGAGTTATTAATACAGCAACAAGCTACTCGAGAGGAGAAGAAACGACTTCGCAGAGCATTAAAAGAGTTAGAAGCACAATTCGAAGCCCGAGCCGGCCGTCGTATGCAACGCGAGGATCGTGGACCACAAGTCACCACCGTTTACGAATCCTACAAGCAAGCAAAAGCGAAACTTAGACTGATCGATGCTCTCATAGCTAAGAAAGCTTGACGCAGTATTTAATTTACAAAAATCTGACTTAAAACAATGAACTTGAAATTTTTAAATGGGCTTTAAATGTTTGTAACAAGATACAACTGTCACATCACGAATGCAATACGGCTCATTTACGCCGTCCGCAATTTTTTTGTATCATGAAGTTACAAGTTACAAAGGGCCTGAAAAAAAAACAGTTCATCAACCGAGCATCCTCAGAAGCAAGAAATGGTAATGAGAATTTATTATCCAGAATCAAAAGATTTTTAAAACAAAAACGGGATAGTTCGTAATATTTGCAAGCATCGTAGGATTTACTTTGCTTTCATAAGTTTGTATTGATTTGGGGTTTTTTTTTAGATTCTGTACTCATAACACTCGAACTGAATATTTTCAATATTAATATAACTTATATTTGCAACACTGTTGTTTTAATCGATATAATCGATATATTAAAAATGCAAACAGACAAGTTATAGTGTGTAGTAATATGTTTACACAATAAAAATATAATATCGAAATAGCTTGATCGAACATTTGAACTCTTTAAATATTAATGATTCTAGAACATAAAATTATTACATCGTAACGATGCAATTGCGCGATGAAGTAATTGCAAATTTTGTTCACTGATACATTTTATTATTATATTTAATTATTGATAATGGAAATGTTCACTTGATTGTCCTCCATTTATTTATCTTACATACAGGATTAGGATAAACTTTCTTATCCTAACGAGAAACTGGATGATTGTTTTGGAATATATTTACAGTTTATAAATTTTTAATTGATTTGTTACAAATATAAATATACTTATATTTTTTATATATATCTTGTTGCACAAAATCTGTAAACTTTATTTGTACTTAAAATATCAAATTCTTTACAGTAATAAACGTAAGAACAGTTAATATCTGATATTAAAATTAGACTCGTCGTTTAAAATCGTTAATTCAAATCTAGAGATTGAGATTTTTTTCAAAGAAGAGGAAACATGTATTACAAGTTGCAAAGTATCAAGTAACATTTTTACTTCACAGTTAAAGATATAATTTTATATATGCTTAATATTTACATTTATTTATAGAAACAGAGTTTATTTGATATTCTTTCATCTTTGCTATTTGTGTATGTATATAAATCCGATTGATAAAATTAATTATTTCATCAACGATAAGTATTGTATCGATAAGACTTAAAAGAAAAATGATGAAAGAAGAGAGAGCGAATATTCTCATATAATGACTAATGTTTATAGTGAACTCGATATTTATTTTATCATCTTAAAGTAATCGCTGAAGTCTAACATTGAGAGAGTAAAGAACGAATTTGTGGGGTTATTCGTAATGTAAGTACCTTGTAAGAGATATCACATGTTGTAATATTGTAGAGTATTATAAAATGTTACGATCTTAATAACATATTGAAAAAAAAGAATATTCACTAAAAGAAACTCGTTGATTTTTGCGTTTATATTTTTGTACAAGTACGATTTTAAGGCCGTTCGCAATGTATACACAGCCGACTAGGGACTACCGCAAAAACGCCTTAAAATTCCACTTGGAACGATTTTTTTCACACAGAATTAATCTCGAGGGTGCTAATAATCTAATGGCTTGAGTTCTACAGCGTGTTGATAATACAAAAGAAATGCTTTGCGAGTCTCATACTAAATTGCAATTGTAAGCCGAAGGATTTCTTGCGTTTTATATATCACAGCAATGAAATCAAATGCCATCTCGGAACCGGAAATTTCAATATGTAATCGAGACATAAAAGTGATGATAGTTTTAACTCTTTATAAAGATAATATTTTTTAGCAGTGGTAACATTTTCAAGAAAAAATACACTAATTAATATTTAAATAATATTTTAATAATTTTTATGAGAATTGTAATATAATTGCCCTTCAACAAATTAAGTTTTGCACGCTCGTTATATATTGCTATTTCTACATCGAATTTTTCAATGTCAGACAGTACACAAAAATTGGTGAATAACTCCGTTTTTCGCGCTGATTATGCAGATAAAATTAATATTTTCAGAAATAACAAATATATCGGCGCTGACAAAGTCAATCGAGAACGTGCATGCCAAAACGCACGTCCGTTCTAATTAAAAAAAGGGTAACAAAAAAAGAAAAGAGAAAAAATGAAACAATTTTTTAGACCAAAGCATTTTTTAGTCTGTGATATAATGAGAGATATATTTGCGTTAAGATGAGAAAGTGTGTATGTGGAATACCTCGGTTCCATTTCTTTTTCCTTTTCTTTTTTTATGAAAACAATTTTTTTAAAAATCGAGAAAGGAACATGATTTTTCCGCCGTTTCCTCTGCAGGAGATTATTGAAATTGATGATCACTTTAGAAGATTCTACAGCGATGACGATAATTTAAATAAAGCAGTATCTTTTTTGCCGAAGGAACGGTTGGAGACATGATAATTTTAGTAAAGAATATATAAAAGATGAAATGGATTTATCATAAATGATAATTATAAATGATTTTAATAATTAAAAAATATTAGAATTATAACATTCTTTCTTCATCTAAAATCATTTAATTTTTTCTTTCTTTCCATGTATAGAAGTAAAAATAGACGACATTGTAAATATTTTATCATTACGACAAGATCCGTTTCTCACTTTTCATAATTATCATTCTCCATCCGTACTGCCAAAAGAACTGCCGTTCACGAGATAAAATTAATTTTATATTTGCCACAGGAATGTTTTTATTTTTCGCGCGTGCATCTAAGTGCACCTTTCTGTAGTAAGAACGAGAGAGAGAAAAATTAACATTATCCTAGATCTAAGATAACATTTTATATTAACGTTAATTAAGGTACATTTTGTAGCGCATAGTTTACGCATAAGAACAGATCGCGTGATTTTGTGTAGCTGCTTTGAAAGAGAGAGAGAGAGAAATAGGAATACTTGAGAAAAGAGGCAGAATGCGAGAAAGAAGCAAAAATTTTATTTAGCAAAGCTGAAAAGCAGAATCGGATAGATTACGAATCGTTAAATTAGTACTTAAAGAAAAAAGAGAGGGATATATATATATATATATATATATATATATATATATATATATAAATATTCTATGCGGATCACATAATCGACGAACATATCTAGAGAGATTAAAATCTTGCGATGGCGAGGGGAGTGAAAACAAGAAATCAATAACGTAACGATCGATTTCTCTCGGATATATCGTCGTACGTAGCTGCAACTGATAATTGCAATCGACCGTGAGAGTTGTGACGAAGAATCTGTCTCTAGTAAGATTTAAAAAAAAAGAAGTATCTCTTCGGCGTTTATACACAGACGTTGATTATATATATGTACATATATACATGTATTATATATATATATATATATATATATATATATATATATGTATATATATATATATATATATATATATATGTGTGTGTATAGAGATACATACACAGACAAAAGAGAGCTGCGCATACATAAATCACATACAATTGTACATGCATACAAATGAATATTATACATTATTATGGGATAGCACGCAGAATAAAATGGAATATGATCTGCTAGAAATGTTCGTTTATTGCAAAAAACAAGAAAACACCTTAAAAATCCTCACGAAACTGTACCAAGAGTGATGTAAAATACGTCTTTTTTTATACATTACTTGATATAAGAAGATATCAATTAATATCGCTTTTTGTGAGCCAAAAAATTCTACTACATGTGTAAATGATTCTATAAGAATAAGTTTTTATAAGTTTTTATTAAAAATTTTAATTGTTTATCGCAATCTTGTGTGGTGTTATGATACGAGTTGTATTTGCTTATGAAAGGTTTGAATTTGCCGTAATAATGCGGCCAATTGCATAGAAGTGGGAGGCTCTCGTGTTGCATTAAATTTTCTTCGACCAAATATCTGTGTCGGATTCATCGAATGAGACTTTCCAGATAAAATTGATATAGGAAAAGGATTCTTATGAGATCCTTTAGTTGACTCGGTGGTAATGCAAACGAGACTGTTTTTCTCGTGCAACATTTTCATTTGTTGCTTCAGCATCATTACCTATTCTCATGATATATCATTAATATACATGTAAAATTCATTTTAAGTACTTATTATAACTCTCACTTCTTTATAAAGACCGATAACGACGTTGATTTCTTCTTCCTTGACATTAAGTTCCTTTTCCATAGCGGACAACTCTTTCGCTAAAGATTTATCTTTGGATTTTTCCATTTCTGATTGTAATTTCTCATATTTTCTATAAATCAAAGATATAAGTAAGTTTATAAAAAAATATGGATTCTTGAATTTAATAATGCCAATACTTACGTGTTCATTTCTTCAAATTGATCGTGTAGATTAATTAAAATATTACGTATTTCCTTAGAATTGTGTGTGCCAGTAATTGTACGCATTTTATAATCACCGATATTAGTCTGTAATATCAACATATTATGCAATATGTTTGACATAAATTATTAAAATATTATTTACCTCTTTATTTGACGATGCTTTTGAAACTCCTTGCAGATTTCTTATATTTGATGTCGTGTTACTTTTATTTACGAGAATAGGAGACTGCTGCTTAATTTTACAATAAGAATTAATCTTTTCTTTATTATATTGTTTCCTGATATTGTTATCTTTTTCAGGAATCATTTTTGCGTTGCCAGATACATTTGACATGCGAGTATTTTCCACGTGTTGTAAATCAAGTACAGATAATTTTTTATCTCGATTGATATGTGAGCTCTCGCAATTATTAAATATTCCAGTCAAGTGTGAATTTAAGCTCAGAGTCGATCTTTCCGAGTGACCATTTATCTGTTCCAGAAGACTTGACATTGGTATGCCTTTACTAACTTTACGAACCAATAACGGAGTAATATCATTGGTAATCGGCTGTCTCGTTTTCATTGCGCCCAATACCTGCATTTTTTACAGAAGATTGAAACACCGCTACTTCCATGAATTTTAATAAGCTCACCTGTTGAATGTTTAATCCAAGATTATGGCTAGGTGTTATCGAAGTTCCTACTACGAATGGTATGTTCCGAAAGTTAAACCTACTAAAATATGATCTATTAGAACGCTTCAATCTCGATGCCAAAGTCGGCATCTCGTAGCTAGGGGTAAACATTGGATCGTTGCATTTGTTAAAAGCATTATGCTCGCTTTGATGCGTTTTGCACTGCGCTGATGAATAGAGATCCTTGGAATATTTTTCCGATTTATGTTCTTGAACCTTCTCGGGAATCATTCTGTAGAAGAAACAAATTCGCATGATGAAGAAATAAGTATAATATTTATTAATTGTCAAAAATCATTATATACATAATATGATAATATTATTGTTACAACTGTAAAAGAATTACTCCGAATCACAATTCGATGACTGATGATACTGATTATACTGCTCATTCTCTTTATTATCGAATTTATATTCACGATTAGCACATTCAGGATATACTGTTTCTTGGATCTTTTGATTAGCAATTTCAGAAGGATGTCTTTTTACACACTTTGTTTGTTTATCAAATTTAGAATACTTATTAGATATTGCAGAATTGCTACTCTTCAATATAGTATTATGAAAAATTTCCACGACGTCTTTGGACTTTTTTGAATTCCTTAGAAGATTGGATTGATTATTAACACCGAGGCCTGTGCATTAAATATTTAATTTTAAATAATAGATTCGACAATTTATGTTCTTAATATGATAATTATAGAACATAATGTGTGAATAAAAATTACACAAATTCGATTCTACCTCTTTGTCTGCGCCTTTTTGCTTCTCTTCTACCGATGAGACTTGTATCTTTAGTAGTAACTGTACTCTTGGAAATAGAATTTCGTAATCTTCCTTTCTTTTTTCGCATTTTAGATAATGCGTCACCCGATTTATTATAAACGGAATTTGATTCGCTTCGTTCCAGTCTTGAGACACGTTTACTTTTTTCCGTTCGTCTAACTTTTATGGTATCCGGAATGTTCAAATTCAGTTCCGCATCTGTTATATTTCTTTTTGCAGAATTCGATGGAATTGCATGCAAGTAATTCTCGTTCGATGTCAATTCTTTGATAGAATCTTCTATATTCAGCATTGATTGCAAATGTTCCCCCAAGTATTCCGGAAAAGATTTAGAATTTTCGAATCCTCTACTCGCCTATACTCATTTTTTAAACATTTTTAAATATAACAATCATATAGCATTATATATAGAATATTATATATTTCTTTGTATATACATATATATATATATATATATATATATATATATTTATAATACACGCCTAAACATGTACGCCTACTTTCAGGCCTTCATTCTGAACTGGTTTCATCGTCATCGCAATAGGAAGTTTTTGATCTAATTGAACCTTTGGTTTAATTGTAACATTTAATAATCCATTTTGCTTTTGATATTTCGAGGTATCGGATTCCTCGATAATATCATCATTAACAACGGTTCCTCTAGGTGACAATTGGGCAGATTTCGAATACAAGGTATCTATAAGAATATAGATATATATATTTACATAAATCGATAGTTTTTAACGAAAAAAATCATTTTATACCAAAATCTTCAGCCTTGTGTTCAACGTTATAAATTTTTTGATAATTATAATTTGGGATTTTATTGGTAGACATAATTTCGCTATTATGATCGTTATGTTCAATTGAAAATTTTAAGCTCGGATTTTCAGATGATGACCTTATTGGCTTTAACGAAATATCAGATTTTTCTTTGGTGCCTTTCATTTCCGATTTGACTTTCTGACAAACTCCCATCACATAATTTAATTCAGACTTTAACGTGAAACATTTTGTCTCCGCTTTATCCAATTCTTGTCCCATTTCTAATTAAAATTAATAATATTGATTAAAATATAATATTAAAATACTTTTAATATTATATTATACTGTTAAACTATTTTTGAAAGTCGGAATTTGTTGATGAGTTTGAAATTTCGAATATAATGTTATTATAAAATAATATTAATATAAATAAGGAAAATTAAAATTATATTAATTTATTATATTAATACGATAATACTTTTTAACGTGACATTTGATCTGCTTTCCGATTCGTTTAATTTGCATGATTGCATTTCAGATTGAGCCTTTAAAGATGATTCTGCGAAAGTATATAAAATCTATAATATACAGTAAACATAGAGTGTACACGGGAATTTAAAAAATCAATTATTCGAAAAAAATAAGATTTTAAAATTTTCGAAGATGTTTTTAATTATTAAGATTCTTTTATTAAAATAATTACCAAAAATTCCGCTTTTGCTATGATTGTGATTATGAATGATCATATTGACTACGTCAGATTATTCCACAATTTCTTGTTTACATGATGCAGTGAAATTTAATGTGTTTCTGAATTTGAATTAAAATATGCTATATACACGAATAAAAATAATTTATTCTTCAAAACAAAACATATAACTATACAAAATTCAAAAAATAATTCATAGGTTACAGTTAGCATGTTGGACGATTACATCATTCTTTTGTTGCAATATACATCTTTCTTTGTTTTGCACAGACAAATTCAATATCTCTATAATTCGACGATATAAAGCATTTAAAATTTTTCGTATCAATGAGGTCTTTCAACAATCAAAATAAATGTAAATATAGATTCATATCTTATCTAAAATGATCTATGAATATGAATGGATTTCTATCTTATTAAATGTAAGTTAAATGTCAACTTCATATTTGTTTTTGTCGTCAATTGCGTTCGTGTTAATTTCCTGTGGAAATGCTTGTATATAATTAAATAACGTGTAAAAAATCGAAGAAAAAATATGTAATTATTAATTGCAAATTACATATTTTTTCTTAAAAATAACTATGTGTTTTCTTTACACCAATTGATTCCTCTCATTATTTTGTACATAAAAGTATTAAGGCAAGATAATCAAAAAATGAATATTTTACTATATATATATATATATATATATATATATATATATATATATATTAACAAATTTGTCTTTTAAACTGCTCATTAAATTTTTGATGTATATACATTTACTCTTATAAATAATATTAAACAACACACACAGATATATATGCTTTAGTTTTAAGAATGGAGAAGGGAAAAACAATTTTTAATGCAAATATGTCTTGTATATTATATTAAAAAGATGTATATTTTATTTTATGCATATTAACATTTAATGTAGATTACAAAAACGTACAGAAAAGTTATTTGAAATTATTTATATAATCCGAAAAATTGTCTTTTCTATAATCATTTTAAATAAAATTAAATTTATTGAAGTTTACATAATTTATCTTTTCTGTTCTTATCTCGAGAATATTCTACACAAGTATATTACCATAAATTTATTTCATTAATAACATTGACGTTTATAATATATACTTAAATGAAAAAGAAATCGCGCAGTTAAGGAAGTACATTAATTTATATCTATATATGAGGCTATTTTTGATCTATAAATTGTAGATATAGCACGGACACGAACCAATCGACTGTTTTATCATGGCATTGAAAAGTGAATGTGGCCATATAGTTCCAGGCGACGAAATGAATGTACGTGCCGCTAGTGTACGACGTAGGGGAAGCGTTCCACGAAAAATGACAGCGTGGCCCCTCTCAGGCTTCTTTCTGATAAACGGCAATAATTAGCATTGGCAGTAGGAGCAAGTTGCAAATGGTGGATGGTGTCAGTGTGTGATCGTCGTTGCGTTAACACCAGGTAAGCTCTTTCGTAATGAACTCGACATTATCGGGATTTATTGCGACGCATCCTGTTAACGACACACCGCACGTGATAGTCGCCGATCAGCTGCTTCGTACGACATTTCGCGATCGTGCAAAATTATTACGTTCGATTACGTAAAATCGACCGTGCAAAACCAACAAATGACAAAAATAGCCAGCCGACTTCGCGATTTATCTCGGGCGATTTATCGGGCCCCCAGCATATTCTCTTATCTTAAAAGAAAAAGAAAACACAAGACGCGATAAGCTGCGGCATGCGTTAATTTGTGCGTGCGTGTGTGCGTCATGCGCGCTCCATGCCTCGTGATGAAATCGAACCTATCGTTACTTTCGAGAAATCGACGAAAAATTTTCATAAATATATGGATCGTGACGTCAAGACGGTGTAAAAATCGGAAATTTTCACCGTCTAGTAAGTGTCATACTATTTCGTTAACGATTTACTGACGATTGATTAGCAAGATCATTCATTAGCAGTTTTCTCTGCCGGCAGATTCGAACGACGTAACATGCACGTGAGCGAATAGCATCGCGTTTGACATGCAATTCGATGCACATGCAAATTTAATAATTTTACCATTTTCTGCAATACACTCTGTTTCTAAAATTTCGCAATTTGTAGAGTTCGCAATTAAGATCGTAATTAAGTCTCGATTTTTTTGCAATTTTCCCTATAATCTTTCCTTCCTGCGAAAACCGGATATACATATGCAACGAGCACATGTTCACATATTTTTGTACTTTTAAAGCGTAGAAAAATGTACAATAAAGAATGGACTTGGAATATACATGGATTTTCTTGCATTTTTTCCAAATATCTCAAGTTTATATTTTATATATATATATATATATATATATAATGTATATATATATATATATATATATATATATATATGTATATATAGCTTTTTAATTATAGAAAACGTAGCTAACAAATAGAAAGATATTTTATAGAAATTTTTTTCCAGTCGCATTATAAAGAATTTTATATGCATTGTATTTTACATTTTCTTATTTCAAGCGCGGACAATATATCGTATATAGCTGACAGTAACGGATGTAGGATAATCGCGAATCGGTTGTGTAATCTACGCGATAGATAGTTCCGACGATATACATGTGTAGCCACCTCGCCTGCCTGTCACACACGTTCCGGCGTGTGACATTCAAGTCACAGCGCGACGCATTCCCGGCAGATATCTCGCTGCATTTCGCGGTATCTGACGTAGCAGTCGAGCCTTCTCCCACTCACCTCTGTACAATCTCGCCGGAGATTTCCTACTTATAAGAGACTGAGAAGTCCGCAATTTTACCTGCTTAACGTCACACGTGCATTAACGAGGTCGTCCGGTCGAAGCGTTTCGGAAATCATTTTATTGTATGTATTAATGAGATTAAAAGTATATGTATATATATTAACTCATTAATTTTATACACTTATATACACTTCTCTGTACATTGGGTATTTTGAAATTTTAGTGCTAATTAAGGTAAAACGTATTATTTCTTTTGCTATAATGCAATCAAGGTTGTATGTTTTGTAACGATATGATTTTTTTGCAATCATTCTGGAAAAAGAGCAATGTAATCAAATGATTTTTATTATTAAGATTATTGTGCTTGATTTTAATACAAATAAAAGCATTAGAATTTTTAATAGTTATAAAATTTGATTTTTCTTAGTATTTTTCATAATATTGAAATTTTATAATTTAATCTCTAAAATATTATTTCGTAATACATAGTATTAAGTATTCATTTTTTATAGATTTTATTCATGACAATGAGTCACTATTTATTGATTTCATTTCAATATTTAATAAAAATGATTAATATTTAAAAATTTGCAAGCTAGTAATAAATATGTCAGTGTCATAATTATCTTGATTGACGCTGTTATTGAAGTATTGTTATCAAGTTTTGACATGTCTTATTGTTTTAAACAGTCATAATGCCTATAAATATTTAGAGTAGCCATTTCATTTTCAGTCTGTTTATTGACATAAAATATGGATAGTATAATTTTTCTCTAAAAATATACTGCTCTTTTTGCTGAGAGATTAGCCCAATATTTCAGAATTTTATCATCTTACAGACTATGTTGAACTATATGAATTATACATGTTTCTGACAGATAGAACGACATCTGTCAGGGTTTATCAGGATTTTATTGGCTCACGATAATATGAAAATTGGGATCGCTTTATCTATTTATTATACTTTTTAGTCTTTGCACTTTTTTATTGCGAGGAAACATTTTAGATAATTAATTAGATTTTAGTAGCATTTGATAAATTACTAGACATATTGATTACTGTGAAAATCTTTTAATGCAATGTATAATTTTATTTTTATTTGTATAAAAATATATACAGAATACATATTTAGATTCTTCGCAACTTTCTGTATCTGATGTTTATCGCATATTTTTTCTAGAACCATATTGCGCAATCTGATAACTCTGGCCAATTTTTAAAAATAGAACTATCTAACGTCCCAATATTTACGGTACGAGAATTAAAGCGTAGAAAGATATAAAAGATTTTGTGCCGGTATAAACAAATAAGTATCAATTATCACATATGTCGATAATATAACCATATATATAACCATATATGTATGACCTCTTCCCGATTAATTTTAGACGGCGATATTTTACTTCTATGCGGGAAACGTACAATAATTACGCATTATTTTTTATTTATCGTAATATTGGTCGATATAATTTTTTTCACATTTATTATTTTATAACATTATTTAATATTATTTTATAACATTATTTCATAATATTATTTTATGATGCAATTGTGACCTTTATATGGCAAAAACGTAGAATATATAATGAATTCTGTAAACATAGCTAAATTAACTGAGTCTTAATTTGACTTATACATAAATACATACATATAAATGTATTGTATAACATATATTTAGATAAACACTAATTATTATTTACACAATTGCAAAATATCTTGTTCGTATCTCTGAGTAATTAATGAATATGACATGCACAAAGTCTAGAACTTCAGTGTTACAATAAAAAACAATGATAAGGAAACAACATATTAAATAAAGTCAGATAAATTAGATTCTAATCGTGCTTGCAAGATTGGTTCAAGATATAAAATCAAAATATTCTTATCTTAATATCTATACTCATCTTAAGCCTTACTCTTATAAATATTAATACTTATAAATTTGAATACTCTTATTAATATCTCAAGCACAGATTATCTAAAGCACTTCAAACGTTTAATCTAAGTACGCCCATACAGCACAGAACATTGCAATAATGTTGCGGGAATATTAGTGTTGTTGCAATATTGCAACAACATTGAAATATTGCTGCAATATTCTATATCATCTCGTCGCTGTATGGGTGACGATATGATCTTCAATCAATATACAACTGTTTAATCACTTTTAAGGTATTTAAACAAAACGTAAAATATTGAACATATTTCATCTGTGACTATATTTATATGTTTTCATTAGTTTATCTGTATTTCTTCCTTATGTCAAGCGAGTGGATCTTTATCATATTTTACACATTTCAGACAAAAATGTACAAGGCAAGGACGGTATTTAATAGGCTGGCCCCATTGGCGCCTCGTATATGCGGCCCCGAAAGATACGCTTCCTGGGTGGTCCGTAGTCATCCGTTGACCAGGACCAGCCAGGTGATCTTCACCGAGTCCGTGCGCAAGTATGACAGTCGCGCAACAACAGAGCCCTTTCTAAATGGCAGTACGAGCTCCTACGTGGAGGAGATGTACAATTCGTGGCTGCAAGATCCGCATAGCGTGCATATAGTGAGTAAATCCGAATATATTGTTGTACAGATTTTTATGTGAGAATTTCCTGAAATTTATTTTATCTTTCTCTCTATTCCTAGTCATGGGATTCCTTCTTTCGAAACAGCACCGCTGGAGCTGCGCCAGGACTAGCGTATCAGGCACCACCATCCCTTGCTCCAAATTACAATCAAGTACCGCTTGGAGCTTTGTTGCCCTTGGGTGGTGGAACACAGCTCGGTCAAGCGCCCGTCAACGAAAAGATTATTGACGATCATCTAGCGGTACAAGCTATTATTCGTTCTTATCAGGTATGATGCCGAAATTTTATACTTTACTTCCAATAACTAAATTCAATATGTTCTTGCAAACAAAATATCTTATACATCCTATGACACCCTACTTGTCCTGTATACTTCCATGATAAATATATCAATAAGATAATAATTTTTAATTATTGCTTTTTATTACTTTGTTTGCAAGAGATGTGACACTTTATTCAACCATTTATAATTCACATAACTCACTTATAACAAAGTGATTTATAAATTAAATGTATAAAAAAATATTTGTTTTCTTTACTTATGATAATACATTAATTATATGGAGATAACAATAATAATAATACAATAATAATAATAATACTCTCTGGATTTTTAATATATTTTCTGCTCTTGTTTCCATTTAAAAATAATCATACTTTTTTTGGTTTTTAATGTTTAATTCTTAACGAATTTAATACATTAAAAGGGAGCATGAAAGTCTGCTTCTATATTAAATTGTTAATGTGTATATATATATATATATATATATATATATATATATATATATATTAACGATTTAATATAGAAGCAGACTTTCATGCTCCCTTTTAATGTTTAATTCTTAACGAATTTAACACATTAAAAGGGAGCATGAAAGTCTGCTTCTATATTAAATCGTTAATATATATATATATATATATATATATATATATATATATATATAGGTTTTATAAATTTAGTCTTTGTTACTGCTTTAAACGAAAACTGTAATATATTGTTATTATATTAGTTTTTATAATTTGTAAATTACAAAAATGACTATGGCATGCATTAATACATCAATTTGTAAGCATGTGAAATCCACTGAACAAAATCTCTCGGTGTTTGTGTCTTAGTTACATTTATATGGTTTAGAATAATTGATATAAAAGTAATCTACATAGATTTTATACAAATCCAAGTGAATATTAACATGAACCTGAGATATGAGGTATTGTGTATTACAATTGATGCTTATTATTAAGAGCTGTTATATATGTTTCTAAATTTTCAAATATTTATGTTTGTCTCATGTGCTGCATCAATGATCATATGATAAATAAGAATAAATTGCATAATAATTTCATTTTATGTAGTTGTTCATTGCACTGAATCTCAAGCATGTTTTGCATCTCTACATTTTTCTTAATAAGAATGAGATCTTTGAAGTTATCTTGACTTATCACTTTTTTCTGAATGGAGATTAGAGATTTTTATTGAAGAAGAAGCAGCATACGCTTTTTTTAATCGGTTAATTAAATAATCATAATTATTTGATAAGAGTTATATTACAATAATTGCAATTTCTTTTATCATATCTTTTACATAAAAATATAAAAAGCTAGCATCCTTTCCTGCAACTATTGTTGCAATACATATAATTTCTTGGTGTGTATGTGTGTATGTGCGCGCGTTTGCGCGCGTGTGTGTGTATATACAATATATATATATATATATATATATATATATATATATATATATATGCGATACGTGTATATACATATATATACACTTATCATTATATTTATGTACATATATATCTGTTAATTCTCCGCTATATTGCTTCTTTTTTTTCTCATTATAATTATGTAGTACGTAGTGCAGTAGCGAAAGTAGATACAATTATATAAATGTGAGGTATTTTCGGGATTATTCGTTGACGTATAGGCCCGAGGTCACTTAGTTGCCGATCTGGACCCACTGGGTATTATGCAAACAGACCTGATACACACGCATTATGCAGCTCGCAAGGGGTCACCAGAACAAGTGCTGCGTCAATACATGCTTGGTAAGGCTTTTTTCCAGAGCATTTTTCACGGGCTTTTCTTTTATGATATGTATATGTACATATATATGTAAAAGAAACACACGTTTATATATATATATATATATATATATATATATATATAATATATATATATATATATGTATATATATGAATATAAACATATGTTTTTTTCTTTTCATATGCTACAATGTTATATGAGAATAGCAGTGAATTATACTAAAAATATTTAGAATATTATGTTGCATATACGAATTATATATTATTCTTTGTGTTTTTTGCAATTTCATTTGTGGAGACATCTATTCTCAATTTTCACATTCAATGATATTATTTCATATAATCATTTTTACATATTAACACTTTTTTTATTTTTATTTTGTTTTATTTTTTAAAAAGATTATTTCTATGTACTCCCTATGTTTCCATAATTTTTCATCTACATAAAATCTTTGCAATTCTATAAATAATTATAAAAATTATTTAAAATTTTATTTATTACATAGTGCAACTTTAGATACTTAACTTTAGTGCAATGGACTAAATTAAATAATAGCAATTCATTATATATATATATATATATATATATATATATATATGAATAATATATTTTTAAATGTTTATTACATTTTCTAATATTAAGAATGCTCTGAAGACCAGTTTTAATGAGACCATTTTAATTAGACCATTTTTAATGAGATAACTGGGAATGAATTATGTTAAAGTAAATATTAGATTATGCCAAAGGAAGATATAAAAATTCTACGATGCAATTATATATATACTGATACTGAAAATGTTTTAATTAACATTACATCCATTTTGGAAGTCATAGAAACGATACATTCCATCTATTCATAATAATTGATAATTGAGCTTTATTCTCAATTTGAGGATTCGTGCATATGTAGGCGTGAAGCTATTAAATATATTACAGTTCAATTATGCATTTATTGCATTTACCTAACAGAGTAAAAATTGTTAAATATGTACATTGCTCAGTATGCGAGTAAAATGTCAGAGGTAAGAATTAAGAAATTTCTGTCAATTTTGTGCATGTATAATTTGTATGTATTTTCATATGTGTATTGCTTTTAAACACTCTTGTACACCTGTATTGTTCAGCATGCCTGTGTCTTTTCAAAATCTTTTTAAAATTTATACTAACGTACTATTATATTATTTTTCCTTACGCGAATTATCTTAAATAAGGAAAGTTTTGAGCAGATACTTTCATTGTTGTTTTTTTATCTCATAACAAAATAATATTGCTAAGTATTAATAGAAAAGCTAAAAGGAGCAGATAACAAATTCATAAAATGGAAATGGAATTAAAATATTTTAATAATTTGATATCTTAATACATATATTAAACGTTAATTACTGTGACATGATGTTTTTATTAGAAAATACTTTAGTAATTAGAAAGATGGTTTGTGTGCACTGAATATTCATATACTATTTTTGCTGTGGTGTATTTAAAAATAATATTCAAAGAAAATGGAACATCAAACACAGTAATTTATATCTTAATTAAATATATTAAATCGCACAATCAAAAGAGAACTATTTGGTTCGCATGAATGTGACAGATTCGTGGCCATCATATCGCTAAATTGGATCCACTCGGCATCAACAGCGCTGATCTTGATGATAGGCATCCTCAAGAATTACTCTATACCCATTATTCATTTGGTAAGCCTAAATGAACGTAAATAGAAAAGAGTAAAATATAAAAAAAAATGATTCATGAACGAAAACACATTTCTTGATGCATTCGAAGGCTACTAATCAATTTGACTAGCACAATAAATCAACACAATAACTCAATTAGAACTTTTTATTATATCTTTAAACATATTTTCAATCATTAATTATCCTATTTATGGACTGCATAAAATTATACATAACTTCTTTTCTCACGGTTAATTTAAATGTAAATAAAAGTGAAGTAAATAAAAGTTTTATTCTCCTTCAAGTAATTTATACACACAAAATGTTTATATAGCTTTATTCTATATTAATTCATTACATATTTATTTTATCGATTAGTCCTTTCTGTAGAATTCAATATTTCAGTATCTTATTATCATAGCACTTTTTTAAATAATTTTGCTTATTTTTTATTTTCACATCCTGCAAACATGACTATTATCTTAATTATATCAATATTAATATTAATAGAAATATCAAAAGATAAAATGTGCAACACATTTAATTATTAACATAATTAGAATAATTTTTGATTCAGGTAGATCCATAGTAGATCCAGATATAACTAATTTATTCCTCGATTCGTTTTGCTGAGCAAATATAAACTGAATGCAGAAAGTAAAGGAAAAAGTTCTTTGACGATCAGTACTTGATACAATTGTTGAGTTTGAGTATAATGTCCACAGGAAAGAGACCACGTACTACTTACTCGCAGGAACTACAATACCGAGTAGCTGTTCTAATGCAAAGTATGTAACAATAGTTGCTCAAACCAAGGAAATTTCTTAAAGAAAAGCTTTCACTCGCGCTAGTATATTAATAGGTGGTGCTGGTTTATTTAATCTTTTCTCTGGGACTAAATAGAGTTTTCGACCTCTATAAAGATTGAATTCTTTTGTTATCTTATCTATATTATGTAAATATGTTTGCACCCAAGAGATAGCTCTCAAACATTTTCTGTAGAGGAATTAGAGGAGGGACATGAAAATATTTCAATATTATAAATATTTTAATATAATACAATATTCGATGTTTTCTATTCTTGTCTTTTTTCTTATAAAAACTAGCTATAAAAATTAATTTTGTTCCTCTTTTACTTCCCAAAAATGTTTACTGCCAAATTGAAGTGTTGCGTATATTATCTCTGACAATATTCTAACACATATATCTTTTTCTCCTATTTTGTGTATCCTTCTCACTGCACTTTATATTATGTTCATTGTTTACGGTATATTTTATATTATGTCTTTCTATGTTTGAATTTTCGGTGATTGTTTAAATTATTGATGCTTTATTTTTAAGTTTACAATTTTTCGTTTTTAATAGAGGAATTTATTTTCTCTTCAAGTTTAGTATTTGTTTGCACTGTCACGCGTATTGTAATATATTGTGATTTCAACACGATACACTTACATTATCTTTAAAAAATAATGCATGTTTATGTTAACAAATATTTTACATTGTGTGAATTCAGATTTGAGTTGTTAAATGAAGGAATTACATATGTACGATGTGTATTAAACTAACTTATTAATTAATTATTAAATTAACTTATTAATTATTAATAATAACTTATTAAATTGAAATTATATAATAAAATATAAATAGAGTAAATATTAAGAAATAGAAATAATAAATATTAAATTATCTTCAAAAAAGTAATTGTCAGTGAAAGTAAAATCTTGAAATATTTAAAAAACACATTTTCAGTATCAGTTTTAAACAAAACAAGTAGGGAAAAAGTACACTTAACACTCTTCAACAGTTTCCTACATACAATTACATACATACAATTATATTTTATATTTATTATAATTATATTTTATATTGAACGACCTATTTTATAGTAAAGTATGCATTATAAAATAAATGCTGCAGAATTATAAATATCGTTGAAACCGTTGTAGTCTGTTAAAATGTACATTTAAATGTGCATAAATATTTCAGCATAATATATTCATGTCAACTATAAAATTTGAATGTAACTTTCGATTGTGGATGTTGCGCTTCGGAGTACTTGTAAAATGTGTTTTTCATTTTTATATGCTTGAAATAGAGGAGTCAGACATGGATCGCGTTTTTAAATTGCCGTCGACTACATTTATCGGCGGCAAGGAAAAATCATTGCCGCTACGCGAGATCCTAAAGCGGCTCGAGGCCGCTTACTGCGGTCACATCGGCGTCGAATTCATGTTCATTAATTCCTTGGAACAATGCAACTGGATCAGGCAAAAGATGGAGACACCCGGAGTCATGGAAGTGACAAACGATGAGAAAAGGCTCATTTTAGCAAGATTGACGCGCGCAACCGGGTAATAACAGCGATGTTAATTAATTGAGTACCATAATTCCAAATATGCCAATTCTAAAGTTACAAATTTTTGGTTTTGTGTTTTTCATTATCTGTTTTATCATATTTTATCTTTTCACGCAATATCATGTAATTCATCTATTTTATATGAAACATTTCTCAAGGTATATTGTAAGATTCAGATTTTTAATTTTTCATTTTGCTAATTATTTAAAAAGAGTATCTAGTAAGCGTCTCATAATTTAAATCGCAGATTCGAAGCGTTCTTGGCACGCAAATGGTCTTCGGAGAAGAGATTCGGTCTGGAGGGTTGTGAAATTTTGATTCCAGCTATGAAACAAGTGATCGACAAGTCCACGGAATTGGGAGTTGAATCGATTGTCATGGGTATGCCTCATCGTGGTCGTCTTAATGTTCTCGCTAATGTTTGTCGCAAGCCGTTGAGCCAAATATTTACGCAATTTGCTGCTCTTGAAGCCGCCGATGATGTAAGCATTAAAATGAGCGATATTTCTTAGTGTAATAGTGAAATGTATGTTTCGCTAGAGCATTCTTATTTTGCGAATCTTTGAGATTCTTAATAATAATGAAATGATTATTAGGGTTCCGGTGATGTAAAATATCACTTGGGTACATATATCGAGCGTCTGAATCGCGTGACGAATAAGAACATTCGTCTTGCTGTGGTTGCGAATCCATCGCACTTGGAAGCTGTTGATCCAATAGTTCAAGGTAAAACGCGCGCCGAACAATTCTACCGTGGTGATGGCGAAGGCAAAAAAGTAAATATTATTACATAAATCAAGTTTTCTACATACACATTTTTATAAAATTAAATTGTTATATAATTAAATATCAATAGCCGGATCTAAATTAAAAATAAATAAATAAATAAATTTGTAATTTTATGAGATTTGAACCAATTGAATTATCATTAAAGTATAAATCTGACTAAAATAAATAAAGCATTAATTGTATATCTAATGATATGACACAATTTGACAATTTTAATGGAAAATTCATTTTGGCGATTATTATATTATTTTATAATAATATTTCATATATGTTCCAGGTTATGTCCATTCTTCTTCACGGAGATGCAGCTTTCTGCGGTCAGGGCATTGTTTTCGAGACAATGCATCTATCTGATCTGCCTGATTACACCACTCACGGTACTATCCATATTGTCGTGAATAATCAAATTGGATTCACCACGGACCCAAGGCATTCGCGATCATCGCCGTATTGTACTGGTTGGTGTTCACGAAGCTTTAGTTTTATTTTTTAATGATATCACAAATTAGCATAAACAAATTTAAATGTGTTTTTATGTTATCAGATGTAGCCCGAGTGGTGAACGCGCCCATCTTCCATGTAAATTCTGATGATCCGGAGGCCGTGATGCATGTATGCAAAGTAGCGGCAGAATGGAGGGCCACCTTCCACAAGGATGTTGTGATCGACTTGGTCTCCTACAGGCGTAACGGTCACAACGAAATCGACGAGCCAATGTTCACACAGCCTCTGATGTACCGCAAGATCAGAAACACTCCACCAGCCCTCGATAAATACGCCAATACGCTCATCGCCGATAGTGTTGTTTCTCCCGAAGAAGTTAAGGTACGAAGATCATATGCGCGAGATACATTTTATATGATTGCTCTTATACTAAAAATTTCTATTTCTATTATAGGATGTCAAAGATAAATATGAAAAGATTTGTGAAGAAGCGTATAACAATGCCAAACAAGAAACACATATCAAATATAAGGATTGGTTGGACTCGCCATGGTCCGGTTTCTTCGAAGGAAAAGACCCATTGAAGGTATCGCCCACTGGTATCAAAGAAGACACACTCGTACACATTGGCAAAAAATTCTCGTCGCCACCGCCGAATGCTGCTGAGTTTGTTATTCACAAAGGTAAACAAAGCGATGTTAGAAAATGAGATAACAAGAGATATTGGAAGAAAATTATTAGAGATAAATTATAACTAAAAGATTAAAATTATAAATACAGAAATATGTATAATTAATGTCTGTTAAAAATGTGCAGCTAAAAAAAGTGTAAAAATTATATTTAAATATATAATCAAGAAAATATATTAATTTAATTTTAATACTTTTTACAGGTATCGAGCGTATTTTGAAGGCTCGCATGGAAATGATCGAAGCTAGAACTGTCGATTGGGCTCTCGGCGAAGCTATGGCTTTCGGATCTCTTCTTAAAGAAGGTATTCACGTCCGTTTGTCAGGCCAGGATGTGGAGAGAGGCACATTCTCACACAGGCATCATGTACTACATCATCAAACTGTCGATAAGGCAACTTACAGACCACTTTGCTATCTGTATCCCGATCAAGCACCTTACACAGTGTGTAACAGCTCCTTATCCGAATTCGGCGTTCTTGGTAAAATCGTAAACCTTTATTTGACGCAATTATTATTGCTGTATTTTCTATTCATATTTAAATAATTTTATTATAATCATAGGATTCGAATTGGGTTATTCTATGACAAATCCTAACGCATTGGTATGTTGGGAAGCTCAATTTGGAGATTTCAATAATACGGCGCAATGTATAATTGATCAGTTCATCAGCAGTGGTCAAGCCAAATGGGTTAGACAATCCGGTTTAGTCATGTTGCAACCTCATGGTCTCGAAGGAATGGTGAATATACGAATTCAAATTTGAATAAACTTGGATTGTTTTCATAGTTTGTCAATTTTAAATTCGCTTTTCATCTTTTTACTAGGGTCCCGAACACTCCAGTGCTCGTCTGGAGCGTTTCCTTCAGATGTCCGCCGATGATCCGGATTATTTCCCGCCGGAAAGCGAAGAGTTCGCCGTACGTCAGTTGCATGACAGCAATTGGATCGTTGCCAATTGCAGCACGCCGGCCAATTACTTCCACATCCTGAGACGGCAGATTGCATTGCCGTTTAGGAAACCGTTGATCTTAATGACACCAAAGTCGCTGCTTCGTCATCCAGAAGCCAAATCTAACTTTGACTTGATGTTAGAAGACACGCAATTCCTCAGAGTGATACCGGAAGAGGGTGCGGCAGCTCAGAATCCTAATGGCGTTAAGAAACTGTTATTCTGCTCTGGAAAAGTTTATTACGATTTGAAGAAAGCTCGTACTGAACGGCAATTGGATGACAAGATCGCGATCGCCAGAGTGGAACAGGTCAATTATTATTTTTGAAATAAATTTAAAAAAATCAAATATTTCTTCTTTATAATCATAATTATAAAAATCACAATATTCTAATATTTTAACCATTTCATATTGATTTTATAGATTTCGCCCTTCCCATACGATCTCGTCAAGAAGGAAGCTGCAAAGTATCCCAATGCAGAATTGTTATGGTCTCAGGAGGAGCATAAGAATCAAGGTGCGTGGACTTACGTGCAGCCAAGATTCCACACAGCACTCAATGGCACCCGAAGCGTAATGTAAGTACCGAAATAACAAAATCGATGTAATAAAATTTCAACTGAAATGTAAAAGGATGTATGTATGTGTGTGAATGCACTTATGTTACGTGTTACACTATGTTACTTTTTTTTTTCTTTTTTTTTTTCCTTTTTTTTTCCTTCTTTTTTTGTATCTTTTGTTCACACGGCCCATGTTTTTTTATTTTATCGTGATAATGCAAAGTATATTTTAATAAAACATATCAAAGTTTTATATTAAAAAATTCAAAGTTTATTTTATTATATGTATTCGAAGTATCATGCATATGTGTTTTTCTTTATTACAATAAATATTTTTTTATTACAATAAATTGTCACAAAATTGAGCAGGCTTTTGCTTTTTTCGTTTCTATCTATTTCACTATAATAAAATAAAGAATCTGGGCCGTGTGTTACAGTGGTGCGTCAGAAACGAGTGAAAGTGATCGAGGATGGTTAGCTGATTTGTTTTCAACTAAACCAACAAAACCCACAATTGTGTCAGAGCAATCAATGGAACCTACTGTATCAAAGCAGAGAATAGTGAGGTAATGAAATGGACAATATGATGAAACATTATGATTGTTTTCATATATGTTAAAAATTATGATTGTGAATTAGTTTCTATGTGCTTGGTAGATGTAAACTATTTATAAAATTATTTTATTCTATGTCTCAAAAATATTACATTTACATTAAAAATATACAATTAAAATAATTAACTGTTAATTATAATACAATTTTGTGTAATTAATAATGATAATATTTAATTAAGTTGCTTTAAAGATAAGAAACAATTTTTTCATCAGTAGGAATCGTTGACTTAATATTATTATTTTAATATTATTCTTAATAGTTATATAAATCGCTTTTTAAAAGCATATCCATAAATATTACACAATACATAAAATCAATACTTAGCACTATACATAAAAATTAACATTGTATATGATATAACAACAACATTATATTGAAAATATTAATGTTTTAGCTATGCTGGACGTCCTACAGCGTCGTCACCCGCAACTGGCAGCAAAATGCAACATCTCAAGGAACTCAAACAATTAGTTGACGACTCCCTCAACTTTTAATGATCCTTTTTAGTGCTACATGTAGAAAACTAAAGATTTATTTATTTTTCTCATATCTTAATGTATCTGTTACATAATATTTTTGTGTCCTGCTCGTCATATAACAAACAACAGAGATTATACTATACTCGTTTAAAAAATTTCTTTGTAATAGCGTCTCTTATATTTAAGTTTGCATATGTGCACGAATGTGTCGCGTTCGTTTGTTCAAAATGCAATTTGCTTTTTGTTGCATCGACTTGCATAACATGGGCAATATGAACTTAATTAAGTATGATAGTTTTCAGTTACTACTGTTCAATTTAATTGATTGTTAGTTTACATTAGGTATCTTTCAGCTATTTATACTATTGATTTGCAATGAGCAATTCATCTGTATATGCATTTCTTTCTCTTATTTATGTTTGTATTAAAGTTTGTATATTTTTTTTAATAGATAACTCGATTATGTATGCAAGTTTGAATGAAATGCTTGATGCGCGCGATTCAATCAATAGAATCAATAGAATTTTTATGTATCTTACAATTAGTCAATATTATATATATATATATATATATATATATATATATATATATATGTGTGTGTGTGTAAAAATGTTTCTTAGAGAAACACATGCTAGTCGATTGATCTATACTTTATGTGAACGTGAAACATTCGTGCGCTAATCATCCTCTATATTTCATTTCATTTGTATTTTATTTTGAATTAATCTCTTATGAAATCGATAAGATATTATAACAGGAAAAGTATTATTAATTTATATAATGTTATGCAGCGCGTTACATTTTCACATATAGCAATTAGCCTGAAGGACACTTTGAAGAGGAAACTGTCCATGGTAAAAGGTTAGAAGAAGGCACATGGCAATTTTTTTTTCTTTTGGTAATTTATGCCATGAGATGGTTGCCAATTACTTTAATTTTTTATGCTTACTGTATTCTTATAAAAAGTTAAATAATTGGCGGTTTTGAAGCGCGTTTTCGACGCAGATGTATGACGTAGCACTATTTCTGGAATTTTATATCCTGCAGCTTCGGTTATTAACGCAACATTAAATTGAAAAGTACTTCAATTTTTAATGTTTTTAAGATTTAAAAGAAGTGTCACAACCGAAGCCTTAGTGCTACCCCATGGACAGTATCAACAAATACTTCAGTTCAGTTAAGGGTATTGAAAGTAGAAGACAAATTAGTAATACTATTATTACTTCAGTTCAGTTAAGGGTATTGAAAATAGAAGATAAATTAGTAATACTTTATAGCACCTAGAAATTAATTTTAATGTTAATAATTTCACCGGGGCATCCGTAGCTCGTATGGTCCGCTGTGCGAAGATGCCGTGCATATACGGTATTTATATTCTTCTATCTGTACTATTTAAAGATGAGACACAAAGAAATTTTGAGAAGTATCGCTACATATTGATTGGAAGGAAGTATTGTATGTGCGTAATATTTGCTTTATTTATATGCGCGAGCTGATAAATTAATTTTATTTTATTTGATGCATATAAAACGATAGCTATATATCTTATGATTTAGCACGATATTGTGGTTTAGACCCAATGAAAAAACTGCAGTATCTGCAATTCTACTTGTTCTTACTCTACTTGTTCATCATGTGCGTTTATTAACAAGAGTACACATGGCTGAATATTAAATAGAAACAATTTTCCTTCAAGTAAGTATCTGACACTTTAAAATTTGATTTAAAAAATCAAATCCAAAATTCGTTGGTATTATTCCCGATATTGTAGCATCTTATTGCTGATTAAATTAAATTGGCTCACATATTGCGTATATCTGCATATATTCCTCCTTTCGTAATACTTACAATCTGTGCATACATACATAATAATTCGTTGAAAAATAATTAGAAGAAAATATATAATTGTTCTCTTATTGCATACTTTCTTTGTAACAGAAGATTGATATATGTTAAATATGATATATTTTTAATTTATTTAAATTTTACTATTCAGAGTTAGGTAATAATTATAATATTTAATTATATACGAAATTAATTAGAAGTTTTTGAAATTAGAAGAATTTGAAGAAATCTCTCTCCTGACTCCAACTTGAGTTTCGACAAAAATCTCGGGAGAAGAAGGTGAAATGAGACAAGATATATTCTGTGAAAATTAATTTTTCATTGTGCATAACGTTAAAAGTATAATACAGTGTGTAAATAGATCGTCAAAAAATAGATACATCGAGATGCGGAGAAAAGAATAAGCTATCTTAGTGCAAGCTAGCAAAAAGATATTAATCTTGAATAAAATATAGATGGCAAGCTTCATGTATTAACGATGCATTTTAAATTAACTATTATTACTACGCTTAAAAATAATTTTATCCAGTAAGCAATGAATGTCGAGTGCAATTTATCAATTAACGCTCCTAGACTTTTACGTATATGCACTTAAGCTTGCTTTTCTGAAAAATATAATCCAATTGCTAGATCTTAGTTAAAGTGATTTTAGTTAAAAGAGATTCTATTCGACATTCGTTCTCAAGTGTAATTCGTTTATTGCGTAGTACAATAAATAAAGCGTGGATTTATTTAACATAAATAAATGATAGTACATTTATAGCGTCAGTTCGGCTTTTAATAATCGGTTTGTCCCAGCACACTGTACATGATCCTCTTGAAGCTATTACTTTGATGAATCTTCTCGCCCTCGTCGTCGAACACGTTTAACTGAAAATTGAGTTATTCAGAGTCGCTCTATATTTCCGAACTGCAAGTATACGTTATATAAATAAGCTAACAATAAATTGTTTAATATATGCTATGGACAAGATTTTTATCTCGTGAGAAAAAACATGCACGATTATAGCAACTTAACATGTCTTACAAGAAAACGAAACACCCGATAGTATAGCATAATGAAACAGCGTATCTGCCCTATGAATTAATTTCTCTATGCGGAAGCATTTTAACAAAAGTAATAAAAAACGCACGTACAAGTTTCTGCAAAAATTTTAATAGTCGTTGGTGAAATCCTTAACAAAAGGAAGAGGGAAGGGACGTCTATATCCACCCTTAATGAAACAGAGGCCGAAAATTAGTTAAATCTTCGATTGTGATGATTATATGACAGCTCCACATGACAATTGAAGTTAATATATATGTAATGATAATATATATTAATATGAAATAATCGTGACCTTATAAATGATCGAGAACGATTCGATATGGGGTCTTTCTTCCCGTAAGTTTAAAGAAGATGAGTATCGGATCTATACTCTTCCGATGGTGAAATGCAGCGGCCGATTATTAGTGGGAGATGATTTGGCACGATGCTTCGGTAGACGAAAAAGAAAGAAGCACAAGAGAAGTAGCACCTCGTGCCAAGTCACTTATATAATCCAGCGCCGTTTTATCGTCCGGTTGTGTTCTCGTAATGTTATAGGATCGACAGTGATCAATAAATTTTTCCGGTAAATAATTAACAATAATGATAAACGCGCGAATAATTAAAAATTGTGTGATTAAGCAATTTTTTTAAAACAAGAGATAAATTTTTTTAAATAATCTTTTCAATGGTATTTTATAATATGCGTTTTATGAGATAAATAGTAATAATACAATAGAGAGTCAAAGAGAGAGAATCTTAATTTAGCTCTGAGAACATAGTTTATGCAGCATTTCATAAACATTGCATAGAATCCATGCGATGACATGCGAATGAGAAATGCGTTTTTAAAATGCATATTTTAGCCTGATAAATTCCTTTCTCTAAAATTGTATCTTAAATGAATCATAAATCAATATGAAAAAAAAAAAAATACTCACGTATGCAGGACTTTTCGGTGGAGTCTGGTATACCTGCACAACAAATATCGTTTAACGTAATTCTTATGTTTTACAATATATTAAAATATATTTAATATCGTAAAAATAAGAATTTATAAAATAAGACGTTGTCGAAGAAAATATCATTTGAAAATACACAAAGAAAAAGAATGTACCTTGTTCGATTTTTGCGGCGCGAAAACGCCAGTGCGAACCGGTTGTCTGACTTCCTGCACATGGTCCCCGAGTTCCTCCTCCTGCAGAGCCTTGTACGCCTCGCTCTTACTCGGATCATACTTCATCGGCTTCTTCTGGCTGCACGTATCGCATGTGTACACAGGGACGATTTTTAATTTTGCTTTCGTTCTTTCTCTCGTTCGTGTAACTTTTATCTTTCTCTCTATCTGGATCGGTTAGCAGCGGCCGGAGTTACGATTTGCCAATTGCTATTATACATTTTTGCTTTAATTTGTTCGAGAGCGACTTTCAGACGCGTCCTCCAGCCGAGTTTAATCGAGAGAAAGCGATAATTCCTCATCGTGCAAATTCTATGTGCATATCCGATCAGGAAGAACGCATTCGTCGGACCTTTTGAAAATTATGCTTCTCGTAAAAAAAATAGAAAAATTAAAAAAGAAAGAAATCTTATTGTCAAGGTCTAAATAAAAAAAATCGCAGATTTCTGAAAATCTTATTTTGACTTGATATAAACTTTACTAAATATTAATACTAATATTTAATTTAATATTAATATTAAATTAGAAAATAATATATTGAAAAGAAAAAATGGTATATTTTCTTACTATTTTAATTTTCAATAAATGGTATATTTTCTTACTATTTGAATCTTCTCCGGCACACCAATATAAATAAATATTGTTTAAAAAGGTGTTTAAAAAATATATTTTTAAAAGCGTAATTTTCGAAAGTCGTCTCGAGCTATTCGTGCACAGTATCTACGATGCAAGCATATGAACACTCATCGAAGTTAGTAGATATTCTTGTTTTTTATGACTATTATATTGATTATTTTTTATGACTATTATACTGATTATTTACTACTCTACCGCATGCAAGAGTTTATTCACTATCGCTAAAAATAAGCTTTTTGCGCGGATTCGCGAAAGCAGCGCGAAATTTCGTCTAAATAATGTGCCTACGATTTTCACTACGCAATATAAACGGCAAATTTTAAATAACAATTGCATATTCGTTTCAAGGAATTGGAACTCAGTGGCCACGTTCATTATGTCGTGATTGAATCAGAAATAAAATTAATTATATTTATCCATATAATCATGAAATATTATGTATAAAAAATATTGTATTTGTGTATCATTTGAAATAAATGAATGAAACAAATAATGTAATTTGAAAACGAACAATATTATAAGATATCGAACCATGAATTTAATGAATATAGAATAAAAATGAAATCTAGAATATTTTTCTTACAATTTTCTACTTTAATTATTTCTCAAATTAATAAACAATTTCTTTTATTAAAATATTTTATAATAAATTTTTTCAACAATTTAGAAATAATTTATTTAATGATATACTCGTATATATATATATATATATATATATATATATATATATATATATAATTTAATATACTTTGGTAAAACAAAGGAACGTGCCCATTGAATTACGTGAAAATTGGAAAACTCTGCCGTCGTAGATCTGACGTGTGAGAAGCATCGGAAAATGTCTCGAACGTTTCTCGACAATTTTTAATTTGGCTTATTGAATTGCGGCCAGACGTTCTTCGAGGAAGCGGCCTTGGCCTGCTCCTTCAAGATTTTCGCTTGCTCCTGTATTTCCTGTTTCTGTTTCAGGAAGGAAAAGTCTATGAAAATGCTGGAAAACAAACAAACCGCTACGTAAGTAATCAATCATCAGGAGAATACGAAAACCGTATAGGAAAAAGAAAGGAGACAGAATGTCCTTTCTCTTTTAAACGATGGAAGACCGACGACCGCGCAATCTCGAACAAAGTGAGTCCGATTTAATTCTCCAATTAATAATTTTTTCCGAATTAGCCTTCGTAAAAATATCAAAAAGATAATCTTTTTTTCATTCGCATTTCATAAATCTCTAAAATCTGAGAACATTATATCTGGAAATGATTAAAGTTAGCACTTATATTTAATTACATGACTATATAAAAAATTAATGAATAGAAATTGATAAAATTTATTGAAAAATGCATCTATATATATAAAAGTTATATATTCTTTTATTATTAATTTTCAATCAATCAAATTAATCTTTGGTTTTGAAAATTTTTCGAAACTAAATTCATATCAACTTCTTTAAATTCACCTATCTTTTATGACACCATGTAAATCATGTGAATTGATATTTGTTAATTTCAATTAAAAGATGAGAAATCGTAATTTTCGTAATTTTTATTATGACAACAATCTATGAAAGTATGCGGCATTCAGCGGAAAAGCCAATCTTTTATTAATTATATTACCCTGTGATTGCTGCAAGCTTTATGGCGTATTAGCGATTCGTTAAATATGTATATATATATATATATATATATATATATATATATATGTATTTAATACGATTTAAATAGTTAAAAAATGCTAGTTAGGAGAACGTAGTGGGCAATCATACATAATAATCTACTTACGGTACGACAGACGCTTGACACTTGATGGTATCTGTGATGTTTTGTTCCGAATAAAGCCCGATCGGCGAATTGAATTGCTTATGGACAATCTAAAAGAGCGAAATTTGGCGATTACAATAGTTGTATAATTTTCTATATCATATCGCAAAACTAAAAAAAATATTCCTGTAGCCTTCAAAAGATGAAAACGATAAAACGTTATTATTTGGTAAGTAGAAGCATAAATGAGATTTATTTCAATCTTCTTTTTTTCAACATTTTTAACATTTCAACATTTATTTTTAAAACTAAATTTTAAACTAAAATTTAAAAAATTGTACATATATTATAGTACATGAATATTTTGAAACTTTTATGCAATATAAGCGTGTATTAAGAGTATAATAACATATAAGAGTATTAATAACGTATTATTATGCAAAGTGTTCACTAAAAATGTATTATTAGTATAATCTGTCCTCCAGTCGTGTCACTTGTGTCAATATTATATTATGACGATATAGCGCTGCAAAAAATAACTTTAGTATGTTGGCACTGGACATAATAAATATTTAGCTAATGCCAAGTTTCCGTTATATATCGGAAATATTCAGGTTTTATTCCATTATTTAATTTATTATTGTTGTTATAAAATAATATGTCATAATATAATTAATCAGCACTTTGTTTATGTACTTTTAAAGAGATTCTATTGAAATTATATTTTTAAACTACATTAGAGAATAATAATCAATAATCAAAATAATCCAAATATAAATATTATTCAAGATGTAAGTTTATTTTAAAATTAAATAATTAAATTAAATAATTAAATTTATAATTTAAAACTTTTTTTACAGATTACATTAATTTAAATTCAGTTTAATTTAATTATTGAAATAAATTCGATTAAGTTATTTTAGTGATTTAATAGTAAATGTGATTTAATAGTAAATGTGGGAGGTAATACAAACTATATCGATCCGTAATAGAATCAATACACCAATATTATATTGGATTATAAAATTATAGATGACAGAATTCAGGATATTCTGTATTAATTAATCCTGTAATGATCGCATTAATATCGTATATATCATTATTATTAGTTATTAGTTATAACAGAAAATCGTAACAACAGGATTCTTGTAAAACGAAATTTCCGCAAACTCAAGTTTCTTGCGGATATATCGGATATCCAAAGAGCGTAAGCGTCGTTTCTCAAAGCGGAAGCGGCTTACGAAAGGAAGCAAAACGAAAGCGATCCAAACCTTTGGAACTTCATTCGGTCCCATGACACGCTGAAGTACCGTTTCCGCCACCTGCTCAGACGACGTTTAATGAGAAATACAATTTAAAAGAACCGATTATATACACGACCGATCTCGATTCGACAAAAACGCATTTCTAAAAAATGAACTTATTTCTGATTACATTATTGAAATCGAAGAATATAACGAAGAATGACTTTTTACAATGAAGCATTACCTTTTGCTTCATAGCGACTTCAGGGTGAGCCGGCTCGTAATGATGGGGCGCCGCCCTGATCATCGGATTCGGATGATGTCGTAGATAACATTCACCGAGAGGAGCATCCTTCTTCACCTTCGCACCTGGCAAGACCAAAGGAGTTGTGCGGTAGGGCTAAAAAACAGATCATAATTGTAATTTTAGTTCAGTATTTTATTATTTTATTGCATTATTAATATATAATATTTCTCTTTCATCTCTTTCATCTATATTTTATCAATTAACATTACGGAAATATATCGGTAACTATGAGTAATGGGATAGTTAATGACATAAATTATAAGATAATATTCTGTCGAAGCGATGCCAATTAGCTAACGAGATCTAAAATTAACCGCCATAGAGGCCATGGCAATTAAGATGGCTCGTTATAATCTCTGACGCTTCTTATGTCGCCATAATTCCAAGCAACGACGAGAATAAATCGATGATATCGCATCTTAAATTAATTGATCCCGTTTCGTAACATTAATGAGGCAAGGTATGACTTAATGAATTATGAGTTACAGCAAAGGAATGTTGCAATTTTAGATTTTTAAGATAGATATTTTAGAATAATTAATACTCAAATAATACCATCGATTACTTTGGAAACTTTTATGATAGATTAAAATTTTCTTTGCAAAAATATTCTTTTTTTTATTAAATTTTTTCATCATAAAAATAATAATGTATTTGACTTATAACAATAACACTCTGTTATTCCGCTTTCTTAATGCGAATAATTCCCAGCCAACCGATAATAAACTGATCGATATTTCTGGCGCGACTGGTCGTGAACCGGAAGTGATATCATCCGACGATGATCGATTGCTTCTAAAGAAGCAAAAATTCCGTCCAACTGGCTCACAATGAGAAAATTACATAAAGCATTCTCGTATCACGAACTTGGCTTGGCAAGTTACGAATTATTACATCACAACGTCGTTTTTGCGCGACATTATGAAATTATATGATTCTATATCGTGGATCGTCATGCGAATTTTGTCTGTTTACAAGTTTGAGTTGCCGAAAAACCCGTGAACAAACACAAAATGGAATCTCGTAATCTTCCGTTGTTGCGCGAAATTTTAATGTTTTCACGAAATCGCGAATTGCGACGAAAATTTGAAAAAATTTGAAAAAAGGCATAGATGTTGCGACTTTTAGAAAGTTGTAAATAAAGAAATCTCTCGTGAAATCTGCTTTTGAAAAACAAGCATTTTATTTCTTGTTCTGCAAAAATAGTCATTTTGAAAGGGCAGTTCAAAATTTATGAGCA